ATATATATATATATATATATATATATACACGCATACATATATATACTGCATATCCTCTTTATATGCAACACTCACACATTAATTCGTACACAGCATGTGCACATACACGTATATATATATATATATATATATATATATATTATATATATATATATATACGCACAGAAGTACAAACATATCTATCAACAACAGATAGGTAGCTATATACATGGGTGCATATGTAATGCTATACGTATGAATGCATGCCCATGCATGCGAAAGCTTTTGAGTATAAATATACCTGTGCAGAAGGTTGTGGCTGTGGAGGTGGTCTACAGCGCGTAGTATTTGCAGCATAATAAATTGGCAAACATCTTCATGCACAGTCTTTTCTCTTAAGAGAAAATCAAATAACTCCCCTCCTTCTAACTTCTCCGAAGCAAAGATAAAAGCCTCAGAGGTCTCCAATACTGCCTCAAAAGACAACACGTTCGGGTGCGGGGGGATATTCAGCAAATGTGTGCACATGCGCCGCCAAGCCCTGCACAAGCAACAGCAGCAGCAGCAGCAGCAGCAGCAGGTGCAAAAGCAGCAGAAGAAGCAGCAGCAGCAGTGACACAGCCACAGCAAACTATCCTCGCAAATGATAAGTAAATTAGAATAAGCAATATTAGGGATAAGCTACAACGAACAAAAATTAACAATAAATTATGAAAGCAAAAAGCAAGAGACAATAAGCAGTACCCAGTAGGCAATAGAGAAAAGACAAGAAATAATAAAGTTAATAAATAATTAATAAACAAATAAGCAAAAAGCAGCAGTAAGCAGTAGGCAGCAAACAAAAGAGAGTAAACAATAAACACTAAACAAACACAAAAATATCTATCTCATGAAGAACCCCAAGCCGGCCGGGAGAATCAATAAACTACCAACAGAGGAGGAAGAAAACACTTAGAGTGAGGGTTTAGGGTTTAGGGTTTAGGGTTTAGTGGTGTTAGGCTTTACTTCTCTGCCTCCGCATGCAGCGGCCCCTTCTTTTTCTTAATAACTTTGAGGACTCTCTTCTCTTGTCGTTCATCTTTCGTAAATGCGTGGTAGAGCAGAGGCCTGTTGCAGTCTGTTGCAGCAGCATGACTGTCGTCGTTGCCTTGCAGCAGCAACAGCTGCTGCTGCTGCTGCTGACGAGGGTTCAACAGGGAGCAGACAGACAGCAACCGCCCCAAGCGGTAATAGTCGTGAATTGTAGTAGAGCCTGTTAGCAGCTGAATAGACTTGCGAGGCAGCAGCATGCTGCTGCTGCTGCTGCTGCAGCCGCACCCACACCCGCAACAGCAGCAGCAGCAACGTGCGCCTTCCAAGAAACAATCCACAGGGTGCGTGTCGCTGTTGCTGCAGCACCGCGTAGATACACTTGATTGCTGCGGCCGCGTAGAGCCACAAGCCAAAGCATCGCCCACCAACCCAGGAGAAGCAGCATTCAGGGACCCGCTGTTTAAACTGGTTCTGCTGCAGCTGCTGCTGCTACCCCTGCTGCAGCAAACGCTGCAGTGCCTGCTGCTGCCACTGTCATTGAGCACGCAGGCAGAAGTGGAAGAGGAACATATGCCGCAGCACTGCTGGTGCTGCCTTTGGTGCAGCTGCTGCTGCGGCCTTTGCTGCCGCTGCTGCAGCAGCTGACGCACAGAGTGCCGACGCAGGCGTTGGTTCTGCTGCTGCTGCTCCGAAGGCAGCTGCTCCTGATGCTGCTGCAGGCGCCGCCGCCGATGCTGTTCGTGGTGCTCCCAGTGCTGCTCCTCACATGCACTGTGGGGGTCTCTGCGGTCTCGTGCGCAAGGCCAGCCTGTTGCTGCTGCACTAGAAACACTTGCCGCTACTGCTGCTGCTGCTGCTCCGTTTGCGGGCGCTGGCCGGGCCCGACGGCCCGCGGAGGGCTCTTCCTCCTCAACTAAAGGGAAACAAGACAAAGGATTGTGGCGCTGCAGCAGCTGCTGCTGCTGCTGGATCGGGTGCAGAAGCTGCTGCTGTTGCTGCTGCTGCTGATTCTGCATGCGTTGCTGCCGCAGCTGATGATTCCCGTGCAGCAGCTGGTGAGGGACAGGGGGAAGAAAGCTGCTGCGAGAAGGAAAACTGCAATCTGGAGCAGAGAGGCGGTCCTGAGCTGCTGCCGCTTCTGCTGCTGCTGCTGCTGCTGCCGTTGCTGCTGCTGTTGCTGCAACTTCTAAGCGCTGCCGCGCCAGCTGCTGCCCACTAAGAGCCTCCAGGCCTCCGAAACAAAGGCTATCTAGCTCCGATGAGTCTTGCTGCAGCAGCGGGGGCAGGGGAGTAGGAAGCTCAGAAAGGAGAGGCTCAGCGGCTGCTGCTGCAGGCGATAAAGCCATAGCTGCAGCAACCGTTGCAGCACCAGGGGCAGCAGGTGCTGCTTCCAGTGAAAGCCCTAATGAGCACGGTTGACTACCGCTGCTGATGGGTATCTCTAGAGGAGAAATCAAGAAGTGCGTGGAAATCTGCTGCAGCAGCTGCTGCTGTTGTTGCTGCTGCTTCTGTTGGTGTTCCTGGTGCCCGTGCTGCGAGTGTTGTTGCTGGTGGTGTTGTTGCTGCTGCTGTTGCTGCTGCTGCGCGAATAGCACCATGGTGTTGTCCTTCCAAGTGCAGCAGCTGTAGTGTCTGCTGCACCTGTGGCTGTAGGACTGCTCTGCTATCTGCTGTGTGCTGCTGCGCTGCTGCGCTGGGGCCGCTTGAGGTTTATCCTTGGGACCTCTGCTGCCGCTGCTGCTGCTGCTGCAGTGCCGGCGCGCTTTAGTGAACAGCAGCAATAGACTGCAGATCTGCTTCTCTATTCTCTTGAATTCAGCACAACCAGTGTTAAATGTTCAGGGCAGCAGCAACTTGCCAAGCCCTGAGAACGCAGATGCAGCAGACGCAGCAGCGGGCGCAGCAGCAGGCGCAGCAGCAGCAGCGGCAGCAGCAGCGACAGCCGTGCAGGCAACAACTAATCAAGAATTAAAGAACAGCAGGAGTACGCGACAGAATAGGGAAGGAAGACGAAGGCGAGTCATAGAAAGAACAGGAGCAGAGCAGCACTCCGTGTACGTTTTGCTTCCAGTGTTGTGATGAAAGACGACAAGGGCAGCCTTCAGCCTGCACAGATGTTATTCTCCTTCTCTTGTAAAGACAAGAGAACACCTGAAAGAAGAGAAAACGCAGAGAAAGAAGAATGCGCCTCTCTAGCCAAACGCTGTGCTGAGCCCAACAAGCCCGAAGGGCAGCGACTCGCTGAGCAGACACCGCACGGCCGTGTTAAACGTCTTTCACTTGAAACCACTGCATTTAAATGGAATTAAAAAGAAAAAGAACGCAAATAATAAGCATCGTCATGAAGTGATTAACAACAGCAACAGCCCATTGGCCACGGTCCTGCAACCCGTGAGTTTCCGCAGGCGCGGCTCCTGCGCTGCGCCCCCTGCACCTCCCCAGCTCTCCGTCACCTCGATCTCGGCTCTACAAGCATTACTCTTTGAAGCACACTGATTAAATACACCAAAATAAACAAAAAACCCACAAAAAGATAGCGCGAAAATGCCGCCTTTCACCCGCAGGCCAGTGGCCTCCGTGCGCATCGGCAGGGTCGAGGCTGTGCACGCGAGGCGCCCCGCACAAACGCAAAAAATAAGGAAAACTCCTAATTTCTTCAGGTGAATTAACTTTGTAAAATTCAACTTAATGCATGCAATGAAACAAGATATGCCATTTGAACTCCCACAAGCCTAGGGATGCCCTCCTCTCGCCAGCTTCCTCCCCCCAACCCCCCGTCGTCTTTGCATAGAGCCGCATCACGCTGCACTACGCAGATCGAGAAGCACAAGAAAAAGAAAATAATTCTAAGGACCAAAGTTCTCTTTATGGGGCTTCTGATGCTTTTGTCTCAACATGACATCACTTTCAAGAAGGCAGTGGCCGTGACTTAGGGCGATGCTTCTCTAAGAGGAATAACAGACGCCTGCCGCCATGCAACCGTGCAGAAACAAACATTTCTGCAAAACAATGAATACGCACCTGCGTTTCTTAACGCGCTGTGTTATGTCTGTCTACTGCATAACGCTGTGATGCTCCTGAGTGTCTTTTGGGGGCTTGTTCGTCATTGGCAATTCGAGAGAATTACTACCTGAAAAAGCATAGACACAAAAAGATCTGGAGAAGGCAAAAACAACACGAGCGGTGTGCATTTCTCCTCAAACGATTATTATTGTCAATCAATAACTATTATCCATGGTGAATATGCAATGCACCGTGAATCAGCACGAGAGAGGAGCAACACTTGAACAATATAGCTTTATCAAAACCCACCTTATTATACTATACTGCATAAGATACATTACGGTAAAAAGAGGCAAGACGAACTGCAGAAACAGACGAATACGTAGTTATATTTACTCAACCCAACAAGGCCACACCTAGAATGATGTGCGTGGGGTGTAATAATAAATACAGAACCTTCCCTTCTCTTTTCCCTAAACCAAAGATTGTCTCACGCTTACGCGTTAGCCGCTTACAGAACTTGTGGCGGTGCTGCAGCGTCCTTGAGGTGTATAATGTTGCTGATCCTGTTGCGTGGCTCTGTTTCGTGAACGAAGGTTATTGCTGCTGCTGATGGGCGAACAACAGCAGACAAGACAGAAACCGTAAAAGAAGAGAACGTTCTCTTTCTTGTACCTTGGCATTCCATGAGGCTTCCGAGTTACACCTGTTGTAGCGCGTGTTCAACGTGTGTATTTCCTACAATGCAAAACACCTGCATTCAAACCGCCCGTTAGCTCTCTATAGGAACGAAGGCTGCTCTTACTGGGAGCTTCCGAGGGAAGTAGAGAGTACAAGAGGAACACAAGCCGCGCTGTGTGCAGGTAATGCCACAAATGAAAAGTCGAGCTGCTGCTGGGGGCGCGAGGCACGCGGGTTTGGCGGAGTAGAAGGGGCTGAACATGGAGAGATACACCTCATAACGACGCAAAGTTTGAAAACAAATAAATGCGGAGAAGAATTAAGGGAATTTTCGCCTATCGCGCCGCATCCAACGCACAGCTGCTCAGATCGCTGCGTCTCGACAAAGGCGGCAGGCAAGAAAAGAGGAAACAGCTGGGGAGTCACTGGGTAGGTCTCAGTGCTACATTTGATGGAATTAATGACGAAATTACTATTTGCAAGAACTTACAACAACCAGTCAATACATTGCCTCGGCGTATTCAAGCAACTAGCTTCACCAAGACTACTCGTGGACCACGCGCATCCTTCCGCCCGCACCGCCACACGCCAAGGCGTTGGGGCTGCAGGACGCTCCGCATTTGAGAGGAAATCAAAGACAGAGCTGCTTAATTTCTATATATTTCATTAGGAATAGTCACAGCTAATAAACAGGGAAGTCCTAATTTCCATATCTAGAACGCGCCTGTAGCCACCCCCGCGGCTGCGCGTCCGGACCAATGGCCGCTAGTCTTGTGTTATCCCAAACATGCAGCGTGTTATATCGGTTAGACCTTTTGAAAACACTAACTTATTCTTATTTCAAACCGTTAGTGGTGCGGGGAATCTAGTTAGCAAGTGAGCTCCAAAGAAATCCGCGTTCGCTGGACGCACCGACCAAGGAACCCGGGGAATTGCGAGTGCAATGAACTGCGTACAGGACACGCAAAAAATACAACAGCTTTCCCCGATTTTACGAATTATGTTTCGATTTAAATGGTTTATTACTGCTATAGGCTGCGTCTAAAGCCTCTAGTCCCTAAAGGAACTACGAAACCAAACGCCGCTTCGCAACGGGTGCGCTGGCGGCTGCAGTGTTCGTTACTTTGAACATTGTCTAGATATATCTTTTTCCGCCTTCTATCGATACGTAAGTTGAATATATTTTGTCATTTCTTCTATGCACTCAACAATAAAAAAAAATTTTCTTTGGCCTGAACACAGCCCGCCATATTGCGGGGCAGCACACGCAATCGCCGCGAAAGATGAGTGCGTCGTAAACACCAGGAATGCATAAAGCGGATTCTTTGCTCAAACAGAAATGAAGATAACTGGGTGATGTTTACCAGGAGAAGACAAGGCATTTGACAGCAATGCGTGTATCGGACAAAACGCAGCAGGTCGAAAGTAGGAGGGAGCTGAGAGCAGCAACACCAGCACAAGAATATGAAGGAACAGCATTTGCTTTCCATGGAGGTGGATGCCTCCACTCCTCCACGTGAGTTCACTGTTTGTAGAGCTGGATGTGATTGCGGTGCAGTGCCTCGCTGTTAACTGCTCATCGCCCTAATTCTGTCCTTCATTTGTAGGAGAAATACAAACAACCCGCAACAACGGAACGCTCCCCAAGAAGACGATGAAGCTGTAGAATCCATTGGGGAATATATGCACTGGATAGATGAGGTATTCATACAGCTGAGTACCGCGGCACCTACTGGTTGTGGCAGCTGGCTTCGTTGCTTGTTGGTCTTCTACAGGCCATCAGACTTATTATATCAATGCTGACGTTAAGTCCATAACAGCGTTCTCAAGAGAATTTCCAGCATTTGTGTGTTTCTTGCACAGGCTGAAGCATACCTCGAGGAACTACACGTTGAGGCTTTCATTGAACGTGGTATATGGTGTCAGATGGAGGCCGATATCTTGCACAAACAAATCGCACTTCTTGCGGAATCCCTCAACAGCCTAAGCAAAGATAATGTCGCTAGACCCCAATGCTGAGTTTAATGCTGTGCTCTTTGTTTGCCTTATTTACGCGGATGTGCCTTCTTTTCCACCGTGTTCAGTTCATTGTCCTCAACTCTAGTCGCTTTTTTCTATTGAAAGTTAACCCCCCATTTGCCAGTGCTCAGCGTTCTGCGTGGGGCAGATGGTTCACACATTTCATTAGAGCTAATGGCGAGTCTGAATAACTATGGGAGTATATATTTGTTTGCATCTGAGAAGAGCGTTCTAGTAAGCGAGGCCGTTCTTGCGGAGAAAGCTTAGGGCATACTTCGACACAAAGCAAACCACTGATAGACTTCCCAAGGCACTTAAAGGAGGGCGAAAACATATAATGGCACACTTATTAAATTTATTGGACTCAATTAAATTGAATTTCAAATTTGTTCAGGTTTTGAAGTTCTCAAATGGTGGCTGCAGAAGTGCTGCATGCAGCTCCATTTGGCCGAAACATTAGCGGGAGGTCGGCGTAAGTGTTGCGTATTTTCCCTTACTTAACTTCGATGCCCATGGGACTCAAAAAGGGTTCGAAAGGCAGCTGAAGTTTGGATTTATAGAAGGTAAAAGTGACTGGCATACACTGTGCCCTAAGCGTGCAATGAAGCAGGACACTTTTCTTTGACTGTCTACGGTAGATTTTTAAAAAAGCTATTTCTGAGTTACTTCAATTATGCATATATTGATGTACTGGTTTAGTACTAGGTAGATTCGTGTTGGAGCCGGATTGGGGCCGACCAATTCACACTGATTGCATGAACTGTACGGGACAGTGCGGATGACGTGGCCTTCAGAGTACCAGGACTGTCTGCCAGTCCATCCAGACATTTTCGGCTGTATTTTTTCTCCTTCTACAAGTAAACAATGCACTGTTGGTTGGTTGAAATGGGCACAAATGGCGTGTGCGAAGCGAACTGCCTGCGGGTGTTCTGGTCAGTAGTGAAGAGGAGGGTTCGAGTAAATCTACGCAAATATGCTTCTTATTTCAATGTTAGTGTACTTGTAAAGATATATGGCTCCCTTTTCGGCGGCCTTTTTCTTTCCCTTTACAATCAGCAGACGGAGGCACACCCGGTGCTTCAACGGGCACGAAAACGCAACAGGTGAAGAGGCGCGATCCCAAGGGATCTTCGCTTGAACAGCCCAAACAATGAAGCGAAACTGTCTAAAAAAAGGAATTGTTGCTTTTGTTTTACACACTTGAGAACGAATTGAAACACTGATCTATGTAGAAAACATAACATCATCAGCATGCTCGGATCTGGCGGCTGCACGGACCACACCGGCGGCCACAGAGACAGCATGACCGCCTCAGTGAACACATTCAAGTAAATATGCAGAAAAATACCAGAATACCCATAGAGTTAAATGAACAGAACTGGCACAAAAGAAGAAAAAGCGCACGGCGAGAAGCCACACAGCATGGGTGGGGACTTCCGTGTTCGACAGGCCCCGGCGCAGATAAATCCCACAGTGTCTGCGGAGAAGGTAAGCTTTCTTTGGAATTGGGAATTTTGAATTAAATAATATTGGAATTTACTTCTATTTTTTCATTTGTTGTGGGAAAGGTGTGGTATTTGGTAGCGGTGGCGGCTACTGCTGCTGCATTCATTGCTTGCGGAATGCTGCCTTGGCTGATCGGCAGCGGTGAGTACGGGTTTCTGTATTCCTTCGATTTCTTTCACCAGAGAAAAATCATTTCTTCTTCTAAAACTTTTTTTGTTCTTTAGGGATTTAAGTAAAGACACACGGTGGATTTCGTAAGACTTTTGAAAGAGCTCGGTGCTGCCTTGCCCTGCGTGCAGCGAGTGGTACAGGGCCTCTTTAGGGGAGAGGTTGAACCTCTTCTTTCCTGGAATATCTTTCTTCGTGCTAAATTCCATTTTATCTTGGACTAAATTGACATAAAATTGGTTTTAGATTATGTAATCTTGCTTTCCTAGACACGCCTTCTGGGACTCTGGCGCAGGAGGCTACATTGGTGCTACCCGCCGGAGTTCGGGATCGGTTCTCCTGCGCCCAGCGGAGAAATCTTCGTTATTTCAACAGCAAAATTTGAAGCACACAACTCTGGAAACAAATATAGGTGAGTAAATTAATGAACAAAGTGGGGAGCTCACACCTCCGTGCAACAATTGTGAAATTGCACACCGCACCAGTGGCATCTTGTACACGAGCAAGGGGTACTGATGATTGCAGAAAAGTTGAAGGTATGGAAAGCCGCATCTCATTTGGTTATGCTGCTGTGGTGATTGCGCTTTCAGTCGGAAAGCTCTCACAATGATCCCGCTCAAAAAGTGGGGGGGCCGTACCCTCTGGGGGTGGCATCTGCGTGCGCAGCTGTGCCTTCTTGTTTTGTCGCTGTTTGTCCTCACAAACAGTCTTGCAAAGCCGGTGGAAAAAAATATCGTTTTGCACAACTTCTCCGAAGTGGCAACCTCTCCCCTGTCTCAAGCTCCTGGTGTTAAAGGTACCTTTTTTGTGAAGTGCCACTATTATGTACCACCAACAACAACGCATCCCACAACGAGTATAGACGCAGTGCTGAAAGGAATCTGCTTCTATTGGAGCTGGAATGCGCTGCAGGATACAGGATTGCAAACATGGAGGAGGAAGAGACCAGTTTTGTCCAAGGGGAAAGAGACATGTGGGTTGGCATTCTGGACCAAGACTTCGTGATGCAATCTTCGCACGCGATGGTAAATGCACTTAAAAGAGGTGCGTTTGACAGCCAATCCTTTTGAGAGGCATGACCTGAAGCAGCAAAGGCACAAGCGACGGTAGTGTATGTCGGTTCGTTTGTCTTTTTGCTCCCGGTTTGTTGCTGTGCCAGCGTCGAAGTATATTTACTCTCGTGGCTTCGTTCGGTATTTGTTTTCTTCGAACAAATGGCTTAGCTATACAATTGCTAGCTTGGAGGAGAAACTCGTCATCGTGAAAATGCTGGAGAAGATCGCCAATGGATCCCGACTGCGTTTCTGGAGTAGGTGTTCGCACTTCATATACATCTAGCGTTTGATAACAATATACTTATATTCAAAAACAAATAAATAAACGGTGACTTAGCCCTTTACTTTTAAGTACTTCTTTGGATGTATAGTCTGAGACCTGCTTACTGCAACAAACTGCACAGTTTACTCATCACAAAGCCTAAACAAATAGGTGGAACTTGTGCATGCAGAGAAACCGGAAAGCGCAGCCAAAATGTTGGCCAGGGACTCGCTTTCTCGGGTGTTCCGGATGCGTACTCGTCTCCTGGGCTCCGGAAGGAACTTGTATCAGAAGCACTTTGGGATTTTGACTCACGCCTTGCAGCAGGCCAAAGCAGGAACCGAGGCTCTCGAACTAATCATGGCATCTAAAAGTGAGGGTCGAAAAGAGATGAAAGCATGCACAGCCCTGCCTCCTGTGGCGAGCTGGTTTCAGCACAAGTAATGCAACAGGCGAATGAGTGCAGTTACCTGAATGCCATCCTTTGCGTACGGTGGCTGGTTACTGCTACTCTTTTTGTTTTTGCAGCTTCTCCTATGTATTCCTGGGCTGATAGCCTCTTTAAGCACCCGGTTATGACTTTACAGAGCGTCGTTGTGCACGGATTCGAAGAGGCAATTGGGGGCATTTCAGGGTTGTTTACTAGCGAGGTGAAGAGCAGCTGCTTCTCCTTCGCGTATCGGGTCAACTCAATTGCCCCGTACACAGTTGTATACCCTGGGGGTATTCTCGGCAGCATCATGAAAGGTCTCGTGCGTTCTTACTTCCTCGTGTTCCAGCAGTCGCTGATCAACTTCAAAGGCATCTTTGCTCTCCTCATCGGTATCATCTGCAAAACAAGAATCATTCAGGCAGCCATTAATGCGATTAAACCCATCTTCCGCCTGGCCAGAAGAGGAGCGCGAGCTTTTCAGTTATTCAAGTCGAAGACGATCGGTAAGCTGAACTCCTAAAACCTTCCCTTGACCTGGCCACAAGTAAAAATTGTTCCAATAAAGAATTGGAAGGCGACAAAGGGTTTAGCACGGGAAGTGCATCTAAATATTCATGCAAATAAGATGAAATGTGCTTTTGTCTCTGTCTTAGGCATGTGGGGAGATCCAATAGGCCAAGGACTCATAGACCGTTTGTTCAAACGCGACGCAGTCGTTTTCACGACAATTCTCTTCCAAATGTATGCGGTTGATGTGGACCAACAGTACACAGAGGCAGAAGAGATCAAGAATGCGCTCTCAGGCGCTGGGGGCTCGTGGGCTTTTGCAGAGGGTCTGTTCGTTGGGGCCGCCGAGTTCGGTCGCGCTTTCTTCGGCTTGTTGATCAAATACAGGAAAAGTGCAAAGGCATACGTACAGGCCTGTGAAGCGTTAAAGAGTGGCAATGTCGAGAACTCCACTGAAGACCCAGAAAACCCTAATGGTTCATCTCCGAGCATACCGGTCTCTGCGGATACAAGTGTGGATAAGCTGCTCGAGGATGCACTCGAATTCTTTGAATGGGCACACCCCGAGGCTTCAGGGGGAGATGAGCCCCTCACGACGGAACAGAAAGTGAAAATGTTGCAGAAGAGCTGCAAAAGGAACAACCGCTTTGTTGCGACTTACGAGAAGGCGCACTACGAGTACACGAAACGCGTTATATTTCAAATGATAAGAGTTTTGAAGTACTTTTTCAAGTACTTCAAGTCCTATATCGCAGATATCCTCTCTATTTTCTATGAGTCGGCCCTAGCAATGCTCGAAACGAAGCTCAACGAAACAGTAGGCGCAGCAGAAGGATCCAACAGCCCAGCAGACGAAATGGTTGCATCTGAAGCTCGTCAAGCAGCAAGAAGAAACGCAGCACAAGCAGCAACAGAAGAATCCCAACTCCCGAGGAAACTGTTTAGAGCGCCCAAGTTCGCAGAGGAAGCCACGAGACTAGCAAATGGATTATATGCAGCAAGTGCATCCCACTGCGCATGGCGTCTGTACAGATGTAGCGCACAATCATACTAAAAATTGAATTGCATTGTTCTCGTGCGCGTTAGGAGTACCATCGCGGTAATAAAGCGCCGCCTGTTTGGGCCAGACAATTATGCTTTCTGGTGCTTAAGATTCAAGCGTGAACAATTCTCCTGCGTGTTTTGTTGCAGCTGGAGCACTCTCGCTCTTCCAAGTCTCCCTTGAATACTCGGAAACTGCATCCAAATATCGCGATATCGCCGTACGCCTTCTTTCGTCGGCTGCGGAGGAAATACGTAGAGGGTTGGGTGATATATACACGCGTTTCCTGAACAGTCAAGTCCTTCTATCTAGGGTGGAGAGGAAAAATGATCGCATTCGCGTGCTTGAACTCATATCCAAGTGCCAGACTCCATTGGAAGAAAAGACAGAAGAAGAGAAACGACTCTGCGGCACAACCGTCACGAGCGAGATCGACCGTGATGAATTCATTGCAAAGTCCCTAGTTGCTGTGAACATGGCTATTTCTTCCCCAGCTGACGATATCGGCATGCACTATTTAGGACAGGAAACGAAGGCCTTCCACGCTTTGGAGAATTTCGCCAGTGGAAAAAGAAAGCGCAACGTCGAAAGAATTGCTCAAGTTGCTATAGAGACATGTGTGTAAAGCAGCTACACTCAGCCAAATAAAGCATATATATATAATTACACTGTACTTCATTTCATATTTCTCGTGTCCACGTACATCTGGAAGGTTTCAAATAATCGTCACTGCCGTTCAATGCGTTTCAGGTTCAAATTCTGACTTCCTCACCCACCTGAGAAGAGCTTTATATGCAAAGGTACCTCTCCCAGTAGACAATCTCTCCACACCACAATTTGCATGCTAAAACATGAATTCTAATTCTCACGACTGCATGGGCAACAGCAAAAGTCGCTAGTGTAGGTGGTATGCGATCATTGCAGCTAGTGTTCCGCCGATTCGAGTATATCGAGGGAACCGCCAAACTCATTCTGTTCGACGAAGGCGGAAGAAGTCTGATTTTTACTGGTGGGCCTCTCCTTGTGTCTACTCCGCTGGTCTTTTATGCTGACCAACTAGTGCATACGTGTTTTCGACATTGTGGGGGAGAGGCGCATGCTGCTTCTCTGTTGTTGCTTTTTGCGTGCAGGGGATAACGAAGAAAGTGTAAAAAGTACGCATACCGCCCTCCCTGTTGCTCCTGCTGCAGAATGAATTTCTTCAGCTTTATAAGCCATAAGGACGGTATGGTTAAGTGTCTTGCGTGCGGTTTTGTTTTCAGGTCTTGTCGGCCCCCCACGCGACGCAAACGGCAGTAGTAGGTGGAGCGTTGCCTGGTGGATTGTACGGGAAGGGAGTTGCTGGGGGTCTAAACGCTGCTTCAAGCAAAACACATGCTGCATTTTCATCCTTCTCTGTTTGCATTCTCGTGCGTCAATCTGCTCAGGAATATTCAAACCGGACCCTCTGGAATGCACGAGTACATTTGTGCCGATGGATGGAAACAAAGGGACTCTTTCGTTTTTTGTTGCGGCGGACTCACGAGGAGAACCCAGAGCACACCAAGATCAATCCAACTTTTCAAAACGCGATTTGGCTCCGGCAATCACACTAACTGGAACAATCGCATACGACGACACGCGCAGTGAACTCCTCAGCATTCAAAATGATCCTAGTGCCATCAGAGACACAATAGTTGCCAGCTTTGTAGACAAACGGGGACGCGTAGCTGCGGAAACGGTGAGGGAGATCGGCGTTTCTTCCAACGAAATAGGTGGTTGAACTGCGCTGCAGCTGACGGGTTACAACCCCGATAGTTGTTTTTCTCGTTGTGCATCTCTTTGCCTTCCCTGTGTGAGTTCAGCTTGCGGGAGTGTTAATGCTGCTACATCGGCGCCTGCCCATCTTCTGGGAACGGAGCCCTGTTGAATTTTTGCAGCATCTGACGCCGAAGATGTTTTTCGACATTCTTTTTCTGCTTTCTACCCAGGCCTACGACCAGTCTGAAGCGACGGTGACACTAGACGGAAAGCTGTATACGTTTCCTAAGTCTTTCGGTGCTATAAAGGATATTGCACTTGGTTCGTTGAACAAAGCGATTGTTCGCATGCACAGTTTGAATGCCTCGGATGCAGCACTGCTAATTGCCATGGGCAGTGTTCATTTTGCTTACAAGAAAATTCAGAAACACCGGACAGGGAGAACCTCGGTAATGCATCTCTTCCTTAGGGAAGTACACCACATTATGAACTACCTAACAGCAGAACCAGAAAAACTCAAGGACTTATATCCCGAGTGCAACTTCATCTCCAAGTGGGAAACTCCCCAAGAAGAAGATGTTCTGAAGTGCGCAATTTTCCGATTTATGAAGATCGGTTCGCTTACAGATCGCGGTGACGCGCAGGTAGGTGCAGCTTGCTGCTTCTGTTGCTCTTTTTCCTTTCTCCTTCACCTAAACGGTATACATCCTGCGAGGTCTTATTTTTCCTTCGTCTGCTTTTGCACTTTCAGGAAGAAATCGAAACATTCGTCAATGCATTCGTGGATAAACTGGCTGAGTTGAAGGGCCAAGTAACGTGGAAATCCTATTTGAACCTCGATTACTTCCTAGACGGCGCCGACATGTATGCAAGTACTGCGGCGAAGTACCAGTATGAAACGCTGTATAACCAAGTCAACGGCATACCAGGAAGTGAAGAAGAACAGTCTGAGCTCGCCAAGCTCATGAAGAAACTCCACCCGTCGTTGACTGGCCACAGGCCCCCACGTCCCAAGAAAAAGCAGGGGTTTTTACAATTACTCAAGACTTTGGCGGAAAACTTCAAACTACTGCCCAGAAACATTAGCCAAAAACTCGTAAGAGCGTGGCGAAGCTGCTACGCAAGAATGAGAAGGTTCTTCGGATCACGCCGGTCTATGCTCCGCAACTGGAGGTATATAATAAATTCTTGTACTTTCCTCTTCCCTCCTTCCCGTTCCTTGTTCTTCATCATAGATCCTGATTTTCTTTCCTTCTCTAACACTGTATGATAGGCTGTTCATTTTTGCTTGGCGTGGCGGCCCAGCTGACTACTGTTAGTGCAGTGGCAGCATGATTGCAGGAGTAGATACTTTTCTCACTCTTGTGTGCTGCACAGAGTATCGCCAAAAGTAATTCAAGGGCCTCATTTCATGGGCGCCCTAAAGTATGCGGAGGTGATAACTTACCCCGATCTCAGCGGTTCACGCGAGGCGCTGATTGAGACGGCCAGCTTGGAAGATTTCGGCCACATTCTGTTGACTCTCGAGACAGTTGCCTCTACGCTCGACAATCCTGCAGCCATGTACAACATTGTCACTCAATTTAGATCAATGCCTGTCTGCAGCCCAGCTGCAAGAGGTGAGTCATTTCTCTCTTAGACCCTTTTGCTTTTCAAGTTAAGGGATGGGACACCCATCCCTCCCTTATGCAGGATATGCATTACTTTTAACAATTTATATACATCGAAATATAAAATGGCGTGAACACTATATGTGTACATATATATATATATACATATATATATATGTATATATATGTAGATTTGTTTTTGTTCTTTTCGCCGTTGTGCCACCAGAGGAGTTCGCTAGGCTGACTGAGAGAGCACAAGTGCTCGGCACGGACGTCACGAAGGTGGCCGCAGGATGGGTGTTGAAGACAAGCGGTAGCGCTGGCATCCCCATGGCTCTGGGGCTATTGGCGCTGCACGACACTGCGGGGGCCTTTGCAGACAAAGCGTTGCAACTCCGGTTTCTTTCCACCGATGCCCTTACCTACCTCATCTCCGCCCTCGACATGGCCTACCTTCTGAAGCATCTCGGGCCGCAGACCCCTAGCGACATCGAGTTGATGCGCTTCTGTGCGTCTCTATATACAGGCATCATGATCTCCTTTTGGTTTGCACGCTGGCGCTAGTTGGGTGTTTCAACTTTTCCAGAAGCAACGCGCTTTGCTTGCTGAAAGTTTTTCGGGCGCTATCATTGTTACAGGCTACAGGTCCAGATACTCTGTATGCGTCTGCTGCGTTCTCTTCTGCATGCAGCAATGAACGCTGGCAGCCCCAATGCTTTTGTCGTAAAGGCTCAGTGCGAACCTCGAAGCTTGGGACTCAATACAAAAGAGCCTTTGAAGGTAGAAGACTTGGTTGCGCGTTTAGAGGAGGCTATCGATCTGGAAGACGGCCTCCCAGTGAGTTTTTAGGTGGCTGACGCCGTTACTTGGACGCCTCCTGTTGCAAAGGAATCTGCACTGCCGGCCGTTTCACTCGTGGCTGTTGCTGTGCTGCTGCAGGCAGGCATCTCGAACTCTGAGAAATGTTCTGCACTGGTTAGCTCTGTCCTACAAGGCCCCATTACCCCTACGACATCTCTCCCACATGAGGCAATCCTTACCTCGGACGCGTTTGGTCTTTGCTTCCTCCTGCTTCGCCTTCGCGGTCCCTTGGAAGCTGGACAGGAGACAGTGACAATTGATGACTTGCTCGACACGATGTACATCGATGGCTTGCCTCTGAGTCAGCACTTAGACTTCTTGCAACAACGCAGGGCCGATATGGACGAGCGAAAGTTGAGAGCGAAGTTAATAGGTCCGTTTTTGCGTCTGCTGCTCATCACCACTGTTGAGGGCCTGGGCAACAGTATCGGAGGCATCAGCTTCAGGTCGTACGACGGAGAAGTCAACTTACTTTCATTCCAATATACCCTGCAGACAGTCTCGCCATCCATGCCGCCTGCTGATGTACTCGCATTCGCCGCCGACCTCCTTCTTGGGTCCCAACCTGACGCGAAATCCCGATTCGTTTCTTTTTCTTTTGACGGTGCGGCCATAAATTCCAGCATAGACAAAGTGCCAATCTTAATGGTCTCGCCGTTCGTTATTACAATTCTTATTATTGGTGCAATTACTATTATTGTTGTCTCTGATTCTCCTATTACAATAGTGCTAATTAGTATTATAGTTATTGTTATTGTTGGGCGTCCATTTTTCAGGTCCTCAGTTCCTCATGGACTGGTATCGCTATGTAGACGTCGAGAAAACGCGCGCGTTTGTTGACGCAGCTATAAAGCAAAATGCTGTAGTGAATTACCCAGCAATGGCCGGCCTCAGCTACGTGTACATCGCAACAGACCTCGCCGATCTAGGGTACAGCTTGCGGCAGAGCTCGAAGCTAGATCCAATGGACGTGGCGAGGAAGGCTGCTTTAAAGATTATGGAAGATGAAACCATCTCCCCCCTGAAGCGCTACGGCCTCGCGCACATGCTGGTTGGCCTGGTCAGGCACGCGGCGAATCTGAAGAAAAGGTGCCTTGGCAAGACTTTAGAAGAGTATGAGGCTTTTACCACCTTCACGGTGCTGGACAGAGAACTCTTCAGATACGACTGCTACTACAGCCAAATGTACGAATCGAGCTCCTTCTCGGACGTGGCCCGCAGCATCTCCGAGGAAGATATAGCATTCGTGATGGCGGCACTTGACTCTGGTGCGTCTTAAATCGATCGAACAACACAACATTTTTCTCTCCTTCTTTGGCGTGTATCCTGTCTTGCCTGTTTTTTCTGTCTTGCGTATTTCTATTCGCGGATTGTCGTTGCAGTGGCCAGTTTCTAAGGGCCACTGCACTTCAGTTTTCTCTGGTGTGCTGCAGCGTACGAAGACGAAGCGAAGACTCTGTACGAGCAGCTGTTGAACAGCAATATCGACCACGCCGCAGTAGCGAATGCGGCGTTCGCCCTTGGGCAGCAGTTCCCCATTACAGGAATGGTGGATGCGCTGACTGTTGATTTTCTCTCTTGGGTTCGAGAGAAAAAACCCTGGGACGACATTCTGCCGACCCTCAGGTCCCATAGAAAAACCCCATGGGTGGCTACAAGGAAAACGTTAACCCTCGGCAGGCCTGTCACGAGTGCTGAACACCCTCTTCTGATGAACCCGTATCAAATTGTTATCGACATTGTATTCTTGTCCTTGACAGGTAGGGAGAAGGGGCTTCCGTATGTCGTCTGTACATCCCAACAAGCATATACCCACTACTATGCAATCGCTATTCAACATTCTGGATACTTGTTGAATCTGTTCTATTGCATCTCCAGCCATAAAGAACAAAACGAAAAAAACTTACCCGCGGGTCGTTTGCAAGCCTCATGTTGTGATGCTGCATTTTGGGTGTTTTCAGGCTCTGCTAAGAGGAGGCGCTTCCCCATTATAGCGCCTGTGAAGCGGATGAAGGCATTATTCGGAATTTTGAAACCGGGAAGGAAGAGCAGAGCAGATTACAAAGCAGACATTCGAAACCGAAGGCATGTCGCAGAACAGAAAAAACTGCAATATAACCTCCTACACGCAAGCGACTATGCAGACGAACTGAGAAAACTACTAGAAGAGGAAGAAGAACCGCAAGAGGAACAACAAATGCAAGAACAGCAAGTGGAAGAGCAACAAGAAATGCAAGAACAGCAAAGGCAAGAACAAGAACAACTGCAAGAACGACAAAAGGAAGAGCAGCAGCAACTGCAAGAACGGCAAATGCAAGAGCGAGAACAACTGCAAGAACGGCAAACACAAGAGCAGCAACACCTGCAAGAACAACAAGCGCAAGAGGGCCAACAACTGCAAGAACAAATGAAAGAGCAACAACTGCAAGGACAACAAATGCAAGAACAAGAAATGCAAGAACAACAAATGCAAGGCCAACAACAACTGCAAGGACAACAAATGCAAGATCAGGAAATGCAAGCCCAACCACCAATGCAAGGACAACAAGCAGAAGAGCAGCAAACAGAACAACTTTTGCCCCAACAAACCCAGCAACCTCAACAAACAGAGGGTTCCGACGAACAACAAACTGTCGATGACGGACAGGCTTAATGTGTTAAATTTGTTTCCAAAGCGAATAGGAATAATGATTTTTGAAGGTTCCGCAAATCCTAAACCCTTGACTTTGTCGGGTTGCCCCGTCTACTCGCCGGCAGTGTTGTAATTTTATCTTAAGTGTTTTTGTACTATCTCGGTTTTCTTTAAGGGCGACAACAAGAAAAAAACCTTCTTTTAGTCGCCTCAACCCAGATAGTGCCTCCCCTCCACGGGGATGCAGGTACAAACTTTTTGATGTTTTCTTCCGTTAGTGCAGTGGCAATGCCGTTTGTCTGCAAGGACTGGACAAGAGTCAGTCACTTGCAAAGAACTTAAACCATGTCAATCGATACGATCTCTACTTCAATAATAATAATGTGTATAGTCTGTAGTTATTTCCAAGAAATACTTTAATAATAAAAGATATAAATACAGTCTGTACTTTTTTAGAAATATACGTCCGTTATCACTTTTAAACGAGAAGCTAGCAAAGAATATTTAAACCCCACCCTCAACAATTTTGTGTGAGCTGCATAAGGAGTGGGGGCTTGCCCTTGAGAGAAATGAAGCAGAATTATTTACAACACATTTTAGCAGTAAAAAAGTTGAAAGAAGTAGGAAATAGAGAAGCATCTTAGACAACGAAGATTTTAAGGACCAGCTGAAAGAAATGCAATAAAAGGAACAAGAACAATTGCAAAGCCAACAACAAATGCAAGAACAAGAAGTGCAACACCAACCAACTACAACTGCAAGAACAGCAAATTCAAGAGCAACAGCAAATGCAAGAACAACAAATGGAAGGACATCAAATCTTAAAGAAATAAGGACAAAGAAATGATCTTCAAAGTTTCGGAGTAGGAAGAAGGAATTATCAAAAGGAAAGAAGAAATGAAAGAAAGTATTTAAACGGAACAAGAAATGAAAGAGGTTAACTAAAGATCAGATAAAAGTTTGATATTCCAAATTACTCCCACACAAATGCAGACTCTTTTATCTTCCGAGTTAAACAAAAGTATTTTATCTTAATCTTCGAATTAAAGACAGCATGAAAAAGCAGAAAAAGCATCTTACTAGTACTAATAAAATAAACCACATCTACTAATCATGTGAATACTACTTTTCACATTAATACTAGTTCAGCATTTCTATAGATCATATTGATACTAATCCAGTACACAAGATTAGCCAATTGAAGTAATAGCAGCTAAAATGAAGACGAACGAAAAACGAAAAAAGCTGCAACTCAGCAAAGGTGCATACATAACAAACATTGGCAGCGTAACATTCGGGTTTCCCCTTCTTATGCAATCATTGCAGGTATCACTATATCCTTCTATTGGTATTCATACAATCTAAACGAACGACAACATAATAATTATTAGTAAAATCATGAATTATCATTATTATTAGCAGCGGCACTACTATTATTGTAATGGATATTTTTTACTTAAAGGCTTCCTCTGAGTTTAGCTTCCTTTTCTTTTTAAAGCCCTGTATAAAACAAGTCTTGGTCATTAAAAATAACAAAGTAAATTAGAAAAACGATGTTTCGTAGCTGCCGCGCATGGACGCACTCTTATTCCTTTGCAATTAGTCCTTTAAGCTGAAGCTGTCACTAAGCATGAGTTATCTTTCCTTGTTTAATTCCGTGTTTTCGTTTACTTGTGTGGCATTGGTCGTCTGTCTTGGGGAAACAAAAAGAACGCCTCCTGTGGCTGTCATTCTATACTTTTTAGAGGTAGTGCATGCATGCATGCATGTATACTTTCTAAGTTACTGCATGCCTGCTGCCTGCATGCGAATTCTACCGCAACAAACCAGAACAGAGAATAAAAAACAACGAAAAGAGCAAGACACGAACAAGACAGTACTACGCGATTTAAACAAAGCAACAAAACACCAGTTTGTGAATAAGGTATTTAAAAAACCTCATCTCTTCTTCTGGCCCCTTCAGTCTGCAAAAAGAGAAACACTTTTTTTTCTTGCAATCCCTCTTCATCATTTATTACCTCGCCGTGTCAGTGTGCTTGAATTGAAAGTGCCACATTTCCTCGCTTTTGCAAACAAACCATTCTTCTTCATTCCGTCTTGTGCTACAGCAACGCACAAACAAAACCCCAAAACAACATTCACTATAATACAGCATCAAACAGCTAACACCGTTTTGCTGCGCGGCCCCATCGCAGCCCAGACCAAACAAAACCCGAAATAATCAATGTTTAGGTTTAATGAAAACAAACATAATCAAATAAAACACTAGTTTGGTGGTCTTTAACAAACCCACTTTGATAATAAAACAACAAAGTTCTAGCAAACGAAAAGCACATAGACGTTTAGAAGACAAGTGTAAATCAACCAGAAGTTAAGAGGAAAGCATATTTTAATGAAACAGCGATTATAATACAAGAGTTTAACGGTGCAAAGCAAACATTGTACAAAGAAAAGGACAGAGGATTGAAGACCCTACAGAAGATAATTTCAGTAAAGTAGAATAGGAAGAGATTTAAAAAACAAGTTTTGTTTGAACAGAAGTGAAAAAGACATTAAATATTTTAATAACACAAGAGTATTAAAAGGTACATTTTAATCGGGTCGTAGTTAAACCGAAGTCATGAAAGCATATACCATTAAAAAGAGTTTAAAAATTCAAATTCAAATTTAAAAGGTTTATTAATAGTTTAAATCTGTCCATTTTAATTTAAAATATTTATATTAAAAACGTGAAATGAACAAACTCATTTCAAGTAAAGCATAATGACATTTAAAAAACATACATAAGCCAAACAAAGAAGAGAGATGCATCACTGTAGCCGCATGCGTTTAGGGGAGGTTTACAAAGTGCAGGAGGCCCTCCAGCGAATATAAAGCTTTTGCTACAGCAACCGAATATGCAAGAAAAGAATATGCTTATGCACGTAAATATGTATACATATATATATCCATATATATGTATAATTACTTATTTATCTACAGAGATTGATATATATATATATATACTTATACATAAACCATATATATATATATATATATATATTACATATACGGACGTGCGTACATGCATTCATGCATGCATATACATAGATATGTATGCAGATAAGGGCATACAGATAAACACACACACACATGCATATATATATATATATATACTTACATCTTGGCATAAGTGTATCACCAAGGGGGCAGTGAATGCTCGCAAAGGCATTTGAGGACCATCATGCGTTGGGCAGACCGCAGGTACTCCTCCTGAAGACAAGCACAATTCAGGTGTATAGACACCTGGCAGCAAATTCAATGGAGTATGCATGCCAGACAGCTCCCCGTCTCTGTTGCTGCTGCTTCTGCTGCTTCTGCTGCTGCTCGTGCATAGGCTGCACCTGAAAGGTCCGGGACTCTTCAGTGCTGCACGGGGGCAGCCCAAAGTGGCAGCTGCGACTTTGCTGCACCTCTGCAGCAGCAGCAGGTGCTGCAACAGGCTGGGGAGTCGTCTCTGTTCTTTGCTTTATTGCACTTTCAGCGAAGAGATGCTGTTGAGGGTCTTGCTTGTTGTGTCTGTCTTCTTTCGTGTATCTCTCAGTGTTGTCTCTGTCTTCTGCGGCTTCCCTTGCACCTGAACTGCTGCTGCCGTTGCTGTTGCTGTTGCTGCTGCTCCTGGTGTTGCTGTTGCTGCTGCTGCTGTTGTTGTTGGTGTTGTTGTTGCTGCTGTTGCTGCTGCCTTGGGGCTCCATAAGGAGGTTCACAACGCCCGAGCGACTGAAGTAGAGGCCCTCAAAACAGCAATCGTATAAGACAAGATTGCATGCAGGAGCGGGGCTTAATCCTTGACGGCCTCCCCTGTCTGCTTGCACCTCTAGTTGTGCCGCTGCTGTCTTCCCCCGCTTGCTGCCTGCTGCTGCTGCTGCTGCAGGTGCCTCAGCAGCAGCAGCAGCAGCAGCAGCAGAAGCAGCAGCTGAAGCAGCAACAGCTTCTTGTGCTTCTTTTTCTGTCTCTTCTCCTTCCCTTAACAAATCCGAAATAAAAGTTTCGGGCTGAGCGCCGCTGCCCACCTCCATGAGGGCCGCCATCATAAAGCGGACCTAAGAACAACAACGACAATAACGAATATAATTATAAACATAATAATAAATACAACAATAAATATAATGATAAATATAGTGATAATAATAATAATATTATTAAAAAAGAACAACAATAGGAATAATAATAATAATAACTACTAAGTTGGACTTTAGTTGTTTAAGCACGAGACAACTGTCTCCGCTAGAGGAGATAGCAAAACCAGTGTTACTGCAGGCAAGCAGAGAAGCCTAGGCTTCACATTCAAGGTGTAGGGTTTAGGGTTTATGGTTTAGGGTTTAGGGTTTAGGGTTAGGTAAGGGCCTCAGCTACCACCGCACTTGGTGCCATAGAAAGGAGACCCCTACGATGGTCGCAGCAGCAAAAGTGTCTCCTTGTGTCTCCACGTCAAACCGAATAATTCGCCGCCTACAGCAAAAGTAGGAGACAGACAGCATAAGCACTGGCAATAACAACAAAATAAAACAAACACAAGACCAACGACAGACCCTCCTCACGAGGTTTTGCTGCTGCTGCTGCTGTTGCTGCTGCTGCTGCTGTCGAGGCTGTTGAAAGTGATGCTGCTTTGACCCCCTCTCTCTCCACCGACAAGTGTATGCAGCAAGCAAAGGAATAAGATACATGCATGCATGAGGGAGTAAAACGAACAAAAGAAAGATTTATACAACAAACTAACCAAAGACTCCTCTCTTGCTTCTTATCAATCTTGCAAAAACGAAGAAAGTTATGCAGGCCGATCTGCAAACACAAGAGAAAAGAATAAACCAATATATATATATATATATATATATAGACATGCAGATGTTGCATGCATACGTGGGATAATTTACAAATATGCACATATGCATACACATACTAGGCTGTACTGGCTATATATATATATATATATATATA